AAATGTTCTTTCTAAACTGATCCCTAACTCTCTTCTCATTCTCAGCTCTTGCTTTCCTAAAACTCTATGCTTCCTCCTCATAGCTCTCAAACCTCTAACAAGTGATGCTTCATATAAAAGAATTGTCTAAATAACTGAGTCAGAACTAACAAATTAATATAATTATGATAGAGAATGAACCAGAAGAGAAAGTAAAAATTAGTTTACGTACGTATCAAACATAGTGGAGGATAATTCAAAGCGAATTTCATCTTCATTTTGACAGATGTAAAGTTTTTGCCTGTTTTGAGTTGTGGACATGTTTTTTTTTTTGCTTTTACCAAAAGATATGTGAAACACACAATAAATAAATCTAACTTCAAGAATTAAAAATTAATCTGAGTAGAAGTTTGACCATCAAATAAGAATTTGAATTTTTTTTTTTGGCTGATGTGTCAAAATTATAGATGCTGATGTGTCAAGATTGTGAGACACAATTCAACTTTTATATAATAAACTAGGTGTTGGCCCACGCTACGACGCTACGCGTGGATGTTTTTTTTACATATTTTTTTAATAGTTTTCATTATAGATTAAAATATTTTAATGAATTTTTAATGGCCATTTTGTGCTTTTAGTAATCCTAAAAATCTTAATACCTTTTTTTTTCTTCTTTTAAACTAAGATGTTTAGAAAAAAAGTGGCCAATATAGACAACTACAACCACCAATATGTGTAAAAAGCAAGGATTAACTTCTTACATGATTTTTTACGTAGGGAAAAACGATCGTAGAAAATCAAACTTGTTAAAGTTTGTAAGCGTGAAAAAGACAAAATGACTCATCGTCTCAATATCTCTTTGCTAGAAATATTATATTTCCTCTAGAGAATATTTACTTCCATCTCCTTTGAATGATTTTTCGCAAGTGAAAATCACGCGTCTTTAGTTAGATCTTTTCTCAAGATAGTTCATCATCCTAATCTACCCGTTCAAAGCTAGCCAACCAATCGAGAATATGGACAGTAAAATTCATTTAGGAGTCCAACATCAAAAGAGTGAACCTCTTTTACACCAAACACGACCATTTTAAGAGACTGGCCAAGAGTTTATGAACTTGAGACATTAATCCAACAATATCACAAAGAAACAGAGTTCTTCATACCCATATACTGTAACAGTTTGTATTATTTTATTTAAAAATAATTTAGAAATGTGGGACACTATCTAAGTTCTTAAACCACTAAAGTACTTCCAACATATATCGATCCCCCAATTAAAGATCCATACATCAATCAAGGTCTGGCTGAAAATGCAGAACACCAAAAATTTATCTGCTTACTTTTGTTTCCCGTGATAACTACACCGAGGTAAGTGCCGTCTTTTTCTATAAGCAGTTTCCTTTGATCTTAAGCAAAAGAATTTCATGGATGATTTTTCTTTAAGCGAGCCTTTTTGATGACTACACATCCTACACATATGGTAGTATATAATGTTATCTAAGTTGAGGCGAGAGCCTTTTTCTTTAACCGAAGCCGGTCCTTGATTTTCGTTCGGAACCTTGCTCGCTGACGAAGACCCCGCCGGTTCCACCGCCGCCTAGTTTTTTAAACAGCTTAGGTCCGACCTGCAGATCAACAATACGATTGTCATCTTAGAGTTCAATTTTTTAGGTGTATACAGAAAAAAAAAACCAGTCAAACACTTACACATTTTTCAACACAATGCCAGTAATCAAAATACTGCCAGCGCAATGTTTGTGGCCAGACTCATCATCTTGGATCCTCTTGACGCACACCTGAATCACAACAACAAAATGTTATTCGTCTGAAACCACACTCCACACCATGTGGTGTAAGCGCCGGAAGAAACCGCTCCTCTTGATGTCAGCATACTCATATTTTGCAATACAAGGTTATAACCAAAAGCCAGCTGAAGTTGAATGTAAACGGATTCACCTGATATTCAAGCAGTGGCTTCACACATTTTGGTTTGCAAGATTCCTCGAGGCACTTTTTCGGATCAACAACTTCCGCATCTGCCTTGTAATTATCGGAATTACAGCAACCATTAGGGTGGAACATCAATTTTTTAAACAAAAACCCTAAGATTATGGCCTAGTAGCAATGAAATGTTCATAACAATGAAAGACCGCACTGTTCTCAAAGTAGTGCTGTTAAAGGGATGAAGCTCAAATTCTCATTTTTATTCTGCAACTCTGACGAACATACACAGATATACCCTTCAAAAATGGAGAGAGCTACTCAACAAACTACAAAATGATGTGTGCAATAAGTCATCGTACATCTTAGTCAAGAGAAAAATTCAGTTTACTATGAGTAAGGATTCAGATAGTTCTTCGTCAGCTCATTATTTTATCAGATAATTACAGGGGATAGCTCAAGTCTAGCATATTAGAAGAGAGAAGAAGTAAATTGTAAGTGATGTAATGAACGGAGAAATATAAATATGTCAAGCACAGACTATAATTAGAAGAGAGAAGAAGTAATTTATTACCAATTTCCGTGCTTGATAGGATTATAATTTATAACGCAGAATCTAGAGAAGTGCTCGAAGAAGAACGAACTTACATGGTGAAATTGGAAATGAAGGATCGCAAGCTTGACCGGAAATCTAATAGAGAAAAGTAATATAAAAACCAAAAAAACTTTAATCATCGATCTATATGAAATGAAAAGTAGATCCGTCGAAGGAATTTACATAACCTGATTGATTGCCAAACGATGACCGTCACACACAAAGAAATCGAGGTAAGTAATTAATTTTTTTTTTCCGTCCACTAATTCATGTGAGATATGACGAGACGTAGCTCTTCCGCTTCGAAGTGTTTCTGTTCTTCTTCTTCTCCTGAAGCGTCGTCATCTCCACGGCCCACCAAGCGATCTAAGGTGAAGATTGATGCCACCGCTGCTGCTCTTGAGCCTGTTCGTAGATTTCCTGAGATTTCTTTTTAATCATTCCCTCTGGCTTGATGAAGAAGACGATTGGGGGAAATCGAATCGAAACATTAACGTTTTTTTATTAAAATTTAAGTTGTCACGTGGCACTCTCTCCAATGATTGATGTGGCGATCAGCTGGAGAGAGTTGGTCAAGTTTTATAATAAAGATACCTGAGTTCGTATTTTTTAAAAAATCTAAGATATCCTTCTTATGCTCACTCCTGAAACACAAATTTGAATTCCTTTAAAATAGATTCATTTGTATATATTAAGTTCAATTCCATTATAATTCCACCTAAAAACTACATGGCCGACATAACAAAATATCTAAAACTAGTAACCATTGGCTTTAGGCGCTTGTACATAAAGGTCTCAGTCCACCACACAAGTGTTTCATATGATTAATGACTAATGAACATATCTTTGAAGAAAAAACAAGATGCTAGATTTGTGAAGAAGAAAACCACCAAAAGAACGGCTGTTCACAAAAGAAATAAGAAATATCAGACCAAAAAAATTAAATTGGCTAATTTAGCTTACAAAATCTACAGTAAAATTGACTTAACAACAAATTTACGAAGAATATTAATGATCAATCAATTGTTAACTCAAGGTTTATCTTTTGTTTAACAGTAAGAGAAGTTATTAATTATGTACGTTTAGAAGAAAGTCATGAAGATGACTACAGTCGATTGTCATAGTGGTAAAATCCTTGTTATGTGACAAGTGACATACTATGTGTCTATGTCATAGTCTATTTTTTTCTTTAAATCTAATTCCTTAATGGTTCGGATGTGGCAGGTTTTGGATCCAACACTAAACCATTTTTGGACAATATTCACTTAGTTTATTTTTTGGAATTCGCTATAATTCTTACAATCTTGTGTAAATTTTGGAGAAGTTTAAAGAGTTGTAAACAATGTAATAAATATTAAAAGATCAAGAATCAAACTTAATCATTAAATCATATTTATCTGAACCGTCTAGTTTAGAAGTGATTTTCATAATATAAAGAGGTGGGATCAGTCATTTTTGTAATCATCCAAACAAATTTATTAAAAAGTTCTCTCTATTTTCTCTCTTTAAAACATTTTTTTCCATCTAAACAGAAAACACCAAAGTTTAAATTAGGAGGAAGGCTGATTTAGCAATTATGGAGTACAAAAAAAACTAAAATCGCACAATTTTGTTTTTATTTTTTTGGTGGTAATATGCTAAATATTACACAATTTTCAAAATTTGACATAAAAACAAAGAAATACAAAAACTATAAAAAAAAATACAACTACAATGGAAGGTAGCTTTAAAGAGGACATAAAACAAATGCCGAATAATGAACCCGCTCGAACCGTAAGATGCAGCAAACGAACTGGAGCTGCACTCGAAGTCACATGAATTAATTGACGAGAAATCGATTTGACTGATTCTATCTAACGTGGTTAATAGACCAACTAATATGACAAAAAAGACAAATAACAAACAAAGAATACAATGGAAAATTACACATTCAGCATATATATATTTATATATACATAATGTGGTGGTTAATAACGGATGCTTATATATATCTCTGGTGGTTAAGACTTAAGAATGGATTCACTTCATGAACATACTGTTCTTGGTGATGTTGCACAAATAAGGTACATTTCTCTCATAAAACTATTTTTGGTATTTTCTTCAAAGAAAAATAGGTACAACTTCGAAAAGATCCTTTATGAAACTCATATTTGTTCGTTTTTTCAAAAAAAAACCCATATTTATTAGGTTTATTACTTAAGATGATGCGAAAAGGATTTGAATAATAAGGTTTTGGGGTTTAGAGGTACCATATTAATCTATGTGGGCGAATTTGTGAGATATTTAAAATTCCGTCAGTGTCAAAAAGAAACATAACGATTCCGATTTGGATTCCGATTTTGGGATTCAGTGCCAGTAATCAAATGCAAACCGTAGAGTTTACCGGCGATGTCGATCGTTCTTTTTCTTCTCCGTCGTGTAGTTTCTCTGGCGGTTTGGGTATTACTTTCAAGACCTTTGGAGCGAGAAGAGAAGCTAAGAAGAGATGGAACAGGTTTTGTTTCTGATTACCATTTTTCTGGCTTTGTATTCCGGGAGATGCAGCGATGTTTACAGCAGGAACGATTTCCCGGAGGGATTCGTATTCGGATCCGCTTTGTCTGCTTTTCAGGTTTGCAATTCGAACTAAATTTGATTTCAGAAGTTCGAAATCGATTTTTTGGTGATCGGGAAAAAATTGGTTTTGATCTTGGAAAGTGGGAAGGAGCTGTTGATGAAGACGGAAAGATGCCTAGCATCTGGGATACATTTGTTCACTCTAGTAAGCTCCTTCACAAAAACGAATTTGAGTTAGAATTCCATGTAACTCACAATCAATCTTCCTAACGATGCAGATGCTGGACCCACCAGAGATATAGCCTGTGATGGGTATCATAGATATAAGGTTTTGTCAATGGACTCATGTTCCTCTGTTTTTAAATTTGTTTGGTGCTCAAAATTTGATGATAATCAGCTATGAACAATGGTAATGTTGCAGGAGGATGTAAGGCTCATGTATGACATGGGTTTAGATGCATTCCGACTCTCCATCTCGTGGTCGCGGCTTGTACCAAGTATGTGTGTGTGTGTGTTTCTTTGCCAAGAACTCTGGATTTTGTTACCTTGCATAGAGTTTTTAATCGTGTTATTTTTTTCGTTTGGGTTTGTCAGGTGGAAGAGGTCCTGTGAATCCAAAGGGCTTACGGTTCTACAAAAACCTCATAAATGAGTTCAGAAGACATGGTAAGATTATGCTTTCTCATCATCAACCATGTGACGTGATTATGTTCTGTGTCTTGGAAGAAAATGAATTGAGTTTGTTTTGGTTCTCTGCATGGCATGAACGGGGGAGTACAGGAATTGAGCCACATGTTACATTGTATCACAATGATCTCCCTCAGGCTCTTGAAGATGAATATGGAGGATGGATTGACCGCAAAATCATGTGAGGCCAACATTTTTGTTAAAATTTGACTCTACTTATATGACTCTCTAAGTGAAGTGTGTGCTATAATCATATTGCAGTGATGACTTCACGGCTTTTGCAGACGTTTGCTTCAGAGAGTTTGGGAAGGAAGTGAAATTCTGGTCAACAATTAATGAGCCCAATATGCTAGCAATGGGAGGTTATGACTGGGGATTTGTACCTCCTGTCCACTGTTCACCTCCTTTTGGGATGGTCAACTGCTCCAGAGGAAACTCTTCGACTGAGCCATATATTGCACTCCATAACATGTTGCTTGCACACGCATCCACCATGAGATTGTATAAACAAAAGTATAAGGTAATCTTACACGAAACATGTACACACAAACACACTAACATTTATCCCTGATCTCTTGAATACTCGAATGACCTCTTATCTCTTTTTCTCTCTGTCTCTCGTGTGGTGTTGTAGGATAAGCAGAATGGATCTCTAGGTATTACCTGTTTTGCATACTGGATGGTTCCTCTTACTAGTTCTGAAGAGAACAAGATCGCTACTCAGAGAGCCAAAGATTTCTATTTAGGCTGGTTTGTAGAACACAATCATCTTGAAAAGATTGCGTTCATTTTCAAATTCTTCTGCGGCTGCTCTGATGAAAAGGGCAAAAACATTTTCATCTCTTAATTCCAGGGTTCTGCACCCACTAGTTTTTGGGGACTATCCTGATGTGATGAAGAGAATCGTTGGAAAGAGATTGCCAAGTTTTTCGAAAGAAGAATCAGATCTCGTTAAAGACTCATTCGACTTCTTGGGAGTCATACACTACACAACAATGTACATCGCACACTTATCCCATTCCCACCACGAGGATTATGTTTCAGACATGAGTGTTTTAATGAGCCGTATGCTTTTCTTTCCTGGGATCTGTATGTTTTTTTTTCTCAATCTACCATACCTGAGTCCATAGCTGATACGTTATTTCATTTTCTTGGACAGCCTTTGGGAATTCTACATTGGTCAAGGTGTGTTTCCAAAGACAAACCTGTTTTCGTTACCCTAACACTTTTCTTATCAATCTTGATTCCTTATCATATATCCACAGTTTGATGTACTTCCTTGGGGTCTTGAAGGAGTGTTGGAATACATAAAGCACAACTATGGCAATCCACCGGTCTACATTCTTGAAAACGGTCTTTGTCTCTCTCTCTCTTCTCATTGTTCTTTTACTTGGTTACCAAACATTACGGATCTTGAGAGAGTTCCTCTGTAAATACACATAATCAGGTCGACCTACCAACCACCATTCATCGCTAAACGACATGGGAAGAGTTGAATACCTTCATGCTTATATCGCTGCCGTGCTCAAATCAGTGAGGAATGGGTCAGAGACAAGAGGCTACTTCCAGTGGTCGTTCATGGATTTGTACGAGTTTGTCAATTACAATTACACATACGGATTATACCATGTGGATTTCAGTGACCCGGAACGTCAAAGATCTCCGAAAACCTCTGCTTTTTGGTACTCTGCTTTTCTCAAAGGGTCCAATGTTAGTTTACAAGAGCCGAAGAACCTCCCTCTATCTTTCTCTCCTGGTTTTGCTTCTCAGTAAAATAGAAAAATTTGACCCGGTTTGGTTTCCCTTCCGGGTTGGTTTTCTTATTCAACGAGAGGGGGGTTACGAAGGTGCTTAAATAAAGAATAAATAAAGGAAGAGGAGGTTACGCACCTTGATAATAGTTTATTGTTGTTGATCATGTTTGTAAACTATATCACTTCACAATGGCCACAATGATATATATGCAGTTGAGTTCTACACAATCAAGTCTAATGAATCAGCACGATGAGGAATAGAGGTAAGGACCAAAGACAAGTGGACGACACACATGATAATCAATCTCTGATACTTGTTCTTTGATTGCGATAACAAAAATATCAGATTTCTCTCTGTCCTTGTCAAATTTTCTATCAGAATTATTTTGATATGATAGAAAAAGGATATTGGAATGAAGAACATTGAGTGATTAGTATTGTTGGCTCTATGTCAAACCTTCTCTTATGGTATTATTAACGGAAATGTTGCCATAACTTGTTTAAAGTCCTTGTAAAAACAAGAAGGATTAAAAATAATAAAACCAGAGTTTCGCAGAACACATTCCTTAACTTTTGACTTCTTCACCTGGAAACAAATTCAAATGCATCTAGTATTATACATCTCCGATTCTATTATAATAAATTTAGCCAAACATGAGTTCGAAGTTTAGCTTCTATTAAGACATCCAATGGTTGATTCTCTCATGACTGGCTAAATTTATTAATAGAAGACATTCAAATCATTCAGTTTTTCTCCAAAGAAGCCAGAAGGGAAGAGTTTTGTTGTTCTTAGCTCATATTACAATTTATTATGAACGGAGAGCAACATTTGAGAATTGTCTTCTAGAAATACAGAAGGACAGAGTACATGGAAACATTGTCGTGTTTAATTCGATACTATCTTATAAACTAGGTTTTTACTGGCTATTAACCTTTATTTTTTAGTCTTTTTTTATCAATTCCAAATGTCTTTGTTGTCTTTTAGTCCTTTATCAGATATTTTCAAGTTTTAGGCCATTTTGGAAGAAACAGTACGCTGCAGATCATGCAGAAGCATCAAAAGTTTTTCATTCTTTGAAGGCTTTCCACCAATGGATCGTGCTACAATTTTGATGTAAGACCATGTTACAATTAAAGACAATAAGACTTTGTTGTTTACTCTCTTTACTCTCTCTCTCGCTCTCTCGTTTGTTGTTCGATCGGTTTTGTGTTTTGAAGAAATGAGAAAAACAGAACAGAAAATAAAAGAATACATGACAAATTTAACGACTTCAGGTCATAAATTTGAGCCCTACTGTCGCCGGGCCGGGATCTGATGCCCAAAATCCACTAGAATCACTTTGGTTTTATAGTTCATACAACCACCTACTACAAACCATGCATGCTTTTAGTCTGTAACCCTATTGCCGACCTTAGAGAATAGTCCAAACTTTGGCTCTACACCATTTCTAATTCTGATAGAAACAGAGTCTTTACCGACCATCACTGCTTTGATTCTGTTTTTGGAAAACCTCACGCGCACGCCACATGATCTTCTTATCTCCTCAAAATGGGTTTGTCGGGTTACAAGGCTTGTGGGCTTCGTCTCTTTTGATCCATTTCTTCTAGACGAAACCTTCTTCATGCATTAGAGTCTCTCTTGGACTTAGTCTTGAGACAAGAAATCTTCATCTTCTCTTGACTCAAATACATAACACTCACAAAACTCCACGCTGGATTTGAGTATTTTGATTCTAGTTCTTGGATTCCTCCCGAATTCTCATGACTTCCGTCAGTTCTTGGAAACTTGGAGCAGCTCCAGAGCTTCTTGGAGCTTCCCCACAAGTAATGCCTTTGTTAATATATCTGCCAGATTGTACAAGGTCGAAATCTTGGCCACCTTCACCAAACCATCTGCAATCAAGTCACGAACGAAATGGTACTTTTGTGCTATATGCTTTGTTCTTTCATGGAACACAGCATTCTATGATAAGGATATAGCTTTCTGAGAATCACAAAACACTTCAACAGGTCCTTAATGGAACCCCATCTCCTCCATCAGACCTTTTAACCAAACCGCTTCCTTTGGAGCCTCTGATAGTGCCATATACTCAGCCTCCGTTGTGGACAAAGCAACAACCTTTTGTAAATTTGATTTCCATCTGATTGTACCACCTTCTGCCGTGAATACATAAGCACCAATGGATCTTCTCCGATCCAAGTCTGCAGCAAAATCTGAGTCACAGCATCCCCTTATGATGAACTCCTTTTATTTCTTGAACACCAGCTTCCTCTCTGTTGATCCTTTGATGTACCTCATGACCCATTTCACTGCTTGCCAGTGATCCTTTAGAGGCTTCCTCATAAACCGACTAATCATAGTAACTGGATATGCAAGATCAACCCGAATACCAATCATTGCGTACATGATACTTCCAACTGCACTTGAGTAAGTAAGGAATGGACTTCATTTCGTCTTCTTGTTCTCTGAATTCCTTCTCTGTGGCAGATTTCAGTTTGAAATGAGCGCCTAGTGGTGTTGAGACTGATTTACACTGATCCATCTTGAATGTATCCAACACTTTTATTAGATAACCCCCTTGAGATAAGGACATAGTACTTTTTTCTCTATCTCGATGTATTTCCATCCCCAAACTCTTCTTAGCTTCTCCTAAATTTTTCATTTCAAATTTCGAGCTTAGCAGTTTTAGCTATATATACATCCCCAAAATCCCCAATATACAGTTTTAGCTATATATACATTAAATTACTATCAGACTACTATATCACCTTAAGATTTGGATTTTGAGCGGTTACATCATATGTCAAAGGACAAAAATAATTCAAAACCATCCACTCATTCATCAGGAAATCTATGGCCAAGTAAATTCTTCCAAGACCTCCATTTTCATAAAAATGCTGAAAATCAATGACATTGATCAAGTATTGAATTGATAACGACAGATTAGGATGACTGAGCTTATCAAATCTACAAGAGGCAATAAGATGTATGATTTTCTAGGGACGATTATTAAAGTATCCTCCAAACCTATGTTTATTAATAGTTTGACACACTTTTATTTTTTATACTAGAGTAACCTCGTATACCGATCATGCCCTTTTGGGCTTTGATGGAAAAAAATTATTACGAAAATGCCATTACTTTTTATATGCCATGTAAGCAAAAAGTAGCGCGAAATTAGACATAAGTCTACCAATATTTGTAGTAGACTTGTTAAAATTTGGTCAACGCAAGTTTTTGTTGCTAGATTTATTTGACAGAAGGTAGATTTGTTGAAACTTAGTAGACTTGTTTTGGTAGACATATTTGAATAGAATGGTCGGCTTATTTTTTGTTGGTAGACAAATTTTTTGATGGTAGGTTTATTATTTTTAATGGTAAACTTATGATTATCTTTAATGGTAGACTTATGAATATTCTGTTGACTTATGGTAAGTGTTTGACTTTTTGGGTAGATTTAAATAATAATGGCGACAGATTTATCTTAAAATTTGGTAGACTTATTTGTAATGGCGAGAGATTTATATACTTTGATGTACAGTAGAATTATTTAGGTTGGTAGATTTATTACTATTTATGGTAGCTTTATTAGAATTTGGTAGATTTATTAGTAATGGTATATTTAAAACCATCGAAATTCAGTAAATAATGTGGTAGATTTATTTACAAGTATGGTAGATTTATTAATTCTTAGTAGATTTAATATTTCTGATTTACAATCATGGTAGACTTATAAAAGTTTTTGGTACTTACTCAGATTACCTCTACTCGAAAAAATATTATTCAGTTTTGTAGATTTATAAATTTTTTCGAGGATGGTAGACTTATTAATATTTTTGTGTGGTAAACATTTGACTTTTTAATTATGGGAAATAACATTTTTGCCCATATTTATTCTCAATTCTATGGAAAAACCAGACATCCAATTTTGCTAAGTATGAAATGTTTTAGTGTTTTATGGTAGATTTATTGTAACGATGGTAGATTTATTTTCTTACATGAATTTTTTTATTAACCTTTCTATTAACGTATATTTCAATGGATATATATTCAGTTGGCAAGTACACATTGAAAGAAAAAATATGTACGTGGTAGGCTTGATCTTGATAAAATCTCTTGTGTACATATCATAGCCACCGCTTAAGTAAGATAAACTTCACCTATATCTACCTATGTCATCCCTTTTACTAAACAAACTACTTACAACATGCTTATGCGAATAGTGTAATGCCAAGAAATGTACAACTTGTTTCGAAATCTCTTGTAATAATCGATCTATTAGACTTGTACGATTTTCTGCATTTTCGAACTCTCTTGTATTAATTGTATTTGATGTAAAATATTTTATGGTTTAGACAACAAATATACCAAACTTTCAAAGGACCAACATCATGCAAAAAAAAGCATGGTCCTTTGAAAGTATAGTTACAGCAATAAGTCCTAATAACAACTGACCAAAAAGGATACCGTTTTGATGTACAAAACAATATAAATCTACCATCATTAGAGCTCGACATACATAATAAGCCTACCTTTCGTCCAATAACAAGTCTACCATCAGTTTAAAAACAAATCTACCAAATCTATATCTATAATATGTATAATAACACGCCGGATTGATGCCACAAATTCCATCGGAGACTCGTCCGCTACAACAAAGCGTATAACATATTAGAGAAGAACAAACAAATGTCATCATTCATATGTTAAGTTCAAATATACAACTAAAAATCTACCATATTAAAACGATAACTCTACAATCATTAACAAACAAATCTACCAAACTACACAGCAAATCTACCAAATAAAAGCAAGCTTACCTGAGAGTTGTTCATGATATCATTGAAAACTGTATCTCCAAGTCTACCAAACTATACTATACCATTTAAATCTACCAGTATACAAATAAGTCTACCAGTATCTATCATTTATGAACAAGTATACCAAACCAAAATTCTATCATTTATAACCAAGTTTACCAAACTATACTATACCATTTAAATCTAGCATGAAACTAAACAAATCGACCACAATGTTATGAAGAAATTGACCATACAATAACCATGACTCACCGCAAATTCTTCACCCTCACTGGAATTTCGTCACCCACACCGGAATTTCTCTTAACCCACCGAAATTTTGCCTAACACCTGCAAAAAAAAAATTAGGGTTAGATTTTTCACAAAAAATCGCCGCTGCCACCGCCGCAAGCTCTAACTTCACCGCGGAGA